GAGCCCCACATCGGGCTCCCTGCTCCGCGGGAAGCCTGCTTCTCCCTCTCCCACTCCCCCTGCTTGTGTTCCCTCTCTCGCTGTCTCTCTCTCTGTTAATTAAATAAATAAAATCTTTAAAAAAAAAATACTTCTACTTTTCCTTTTTCTCAACTTTAAAAAGTTTCCAGCTTTGAAAGGGTTTTAATGGGCTATAAATAAACGGAGAGTGAATATTTTAACAAACTCATTATTTTTGATACATCCAAGTTATTTTGAAAGCCTGGTGAACATTTAAAAGCAGTCTGGTGTTGGACGCCGCGGCGCCGCCCGCCGCGGCGTGCTGGTGATGGGTATTGAGGAGGGCACGTTCTGCATGGAGCACTGGGTGTTATGCACAAACAATGAATCATGGAACAATGCATCTAAAACTAATGATGTAATGTATGGGGATTAACATAACAATAAAAAAATTAAAAAAAAAAGCAGTCTGGTGTTTCTGGTGTGAGTGGGGCGGGAAGGAGCATGGGGGGGCGGGGGGAGTCAGGGGGAGAGGCAACAGAACAGGCTACTTCTTTTAAACCACCGACCTCCACTTATGTCAGTGATATAACCAGGAGGGAGGTTTCTTCAGAACGGCACCTCAGGTCCCTAGGCACAATGCTTTCTTGTTTGCCCTTTTTTCAAATGCTCCATTTTTTCCTTTATTCAGTTCGGTGACATTAACAACGTAAACTAACTCGGACACTTAAACCCCGAAGCAAGCACAGAAGTGAACAGACAAGATCATCCGTCCCTATACACAATCAGAAAATGTTAATGAAGCTTAGAATGGTATTTGCCGTAATGGGATGTTAGCACAATTGCTGGAAATGTCCACAGCCTCCGCGCTCCCGTCTCTCTGAGTCTCCGTGCTTAAGTGATGCTGGTGAAAAGCCCCTGTCCCGCTTCGGCAGCACACTGCGTAGACACCACTGGACCGGATTCATTTTTAAGACCCTCTTTTCTTTATTTGGCAAAATTATTTCAAGAATAACCAGCGCTCTGTTTCACGGTTTTAAACATTAAACACAGAAGCTCCCGAAGTGGTAAGAGAATGACAGAACTGAAATAACTTAAGTTCTGTTTTCCCATCTTCCTAACGACTGTGCTATCACGGCTCATTTCCCCATCTACTGTTTTTTTTTTTTTTTTTTTTTTTTAAAGATTTTATTTATTTATTTGAG